CTCGCTCAGACACATGAAAAATTAGAGGGAACATTGCTCAGGACCCCAGCCCTCGGGGCCTGGACTCCCCCACCCCTGTTCTAAATGAACACTGATGTCACCGACCAGTCAAATCTGAACGGAGCTCATTTTGGCCTAAAAGTTTTTGGTTCCATCATAGCCGAGCTCGTACTCTGCTGCAGATACCAGCATCTGTACAGCTTCCACTTAGTCTCTGCTTCAGTATCTGCCACAGAGCCGACCGTAAAATCAGTTTTCATGTGTTCTGCACGGAACATGAGAACTTTACGAGTCGCAAACGTTTCGTCTACACTTTTGTGTCACCTCCACACACCCCAAACAAGCTGCCCAACAAACCAACAGTTTGCACACTGTTGGTTTGTTGGGGCCGCACTTGGTCATCATCAGGCGGATCATTCCTGATGATGTGACCCAAATATCTGACTTTTCATCACATTTAGCTCAAACAGACTGAGGGGAAATTTCGATATCGTCGCGTCCAGCATCATCCTGCCGACTTCACTGAGAGCGCTTTTTGCAGACCAGCACAAAAATGTACAGAAAAGAGATGAAAGTAAACAAAGTGAATGAACCTGATCATCTGAAGCTTCACACCTACTCAGGAACATTATTCCAGACTGGGATGTAAACAGGAACGAAGAGAGGGCGGCTGTAACGCCTGGCTCAACTAGTCTGATTCCACTGAAGGATGCACGTTAATAAATAACATTCGTGGAATAATGATTTTTATTAGCAGTGTCAGGAGCTCAGTAATAATGTTGCCTTTTTAAATTTGTTGTTCTTTAGGCCATAAAAAGTACTTCGGTAAACTCCACAGTTTTAATCAGTTGTGAGCATCTCCACAGTCCAGAGCACAAACATGTCCAGTTTGCTGTAAATGCCAGCATGATTTTCATTTTGCCCAAGAATACCAAACCGAGGTCATAGGTCACACAGCTCACGTTTTTTGGAGCAGGAGTAATCGCCCCCTAGTGGCCACTAGAAAGAAAGCAGGTTTAAGCAGCTTTCAGGCTTTGTCTACCTTTGAAACGCCGTGTACGGAGACAGCACAGAGGCTCGCGTACGTCTTTGTGTGTTCAGCAGGAGGGAGAGGAGCTATGCTTCAGCCAGCAAACTGAAATTAATGCCATCGCTGCAATTACCTGGAATCCAGCTTGTTTTGACTTTAAACCCTTTGGCCTGACAGAATGACATGTTTTCAAATCCGTGCAATAAATGAGCAACAAGTCTGCGTGACTTTTGTTTACAGGTTCACTTTTAATTGGATGAAGGCGACGTACATACAGAAATAGAAGAAAGTGGACTTTTCTAATAGATAAACTGCAGCAAGTCCTCGCTGCGTTCGCTTTTACTTAAGATGTAGACTGTAATTATGTTTGGTGTTATAAAACATAATAAAGCTAATATTCTTCATAGATATTTTTAATTATGCTTTTAGAGTTCGGCCAAGGCTATCTGTAATTACACCTCAGAAAATAATTGGCTTTCTTCTCGTCAGAGCAATTAGGCACAAAAGAAGCTTTTAAATGGCTGGCGTGCACCGTCCTTCCCGTTTGGCTTGACACTGACATTTGGTTTTCTTCGTGAAACGTCACATTCTCTGCAGTTAATTAACACGGCAGATGACATAAACATACTTTTGTTCATCGGGCGCAGGGTTCAGAAACAAACACTCTGCCACAATCAGCATCTGCCTCTCACCAAACCCTCGTCCGGCCTCTCGGGAGACAAACACTCAACCTCCAGCAGTTAATATGCAGACAAACAGACCGAGCGAGGTCAATAACGTCTCCTTCGCTTTGTCCCGCCATCTCATTGCCACAGGAAATCAGCGACACAGAGATCCTGGAGCTTACCCACAGTGCACTGGGGCGCATGACGGTGATCCGGCAGATCTTCCCGTTGCTGAAGGACAGCAGCACCCGCTGCATGAGGCAGAACCACCGGATCTCCTCGCTGCTGTGTGACCCGCAGGAAGGACACCTGCAGAACCTGGAGGTAACAAGAATTCAGCTCAGTGTGCAGTAAAGGTTGTGCTATGGCAGAAAGTAGTGCTAGCTTTAAAGTCATGCCTCCCTGAGTTCTGTTATAAATGTGGACAAGTGTATTTGGGGTTTCCTCTAATCCACACAGACTCACATATATACATACAAACGCCCGCTTTAATATTTTAATAACTGATGCTGAAAGTTCTGCAATGTCTTTAACCCAACGAGGCCAAGGCCTAAATCCTTTGCACAGTGATCAGGACCGGCTGCAGCTGGTAGTCTCTCTTTGCACTATAGAAAGGATTTGTTTGACAGCACTCGTTGGACTGACCAAGACTCAGGAACTCAGTGAAGCTTGCAGAAGGAGAACTTTACATTTACACAAGTTTGGAAGGTTTGCATATTCCAAGGTTCAAACAACCGTAAGTAAAAGTTATCTGGATGTGTCTCTGCCAGGAAACCACCCAGAGTAAGTTAACTCAATTCTGCCAAGAAGAGTGCAGGATTACGCCAGAAGCTTGGTGATGGATACCGAAAGCATCCGACTGAGGTGCAACTTGCTAAGGGACATTTACCCAAATATTTCTGGGTGTCTGAGTATGTTTTAGCCTGTATGCATACCTGTGTGGATCAAGGAAAATCCCAAATAAATTGGGGACCCAACTCGTGTTTTTTAAACTTATTAAAGATGTATGGTGTACCATCCTTCCACTGTGCAAAAGAACAGTTCAAAGAAACACCAGAATTAATTGACATCCCTGCACACGATGAGTGTGCATGAATGGGTTTGAGTTAGGATTAGGTCGCTGATGATGACTTAGGCTACGTTCACTCTGCAGGTCTTGATGCTCAATTCCAATTTTTTTGTCTGCTCGTTCACACTACAAATAAAATGTGACAGCAAAGGCGCTCTAGTGTGAACACTCAAAGCGGCCGCATGCGCAAAAGAAGACGTCACACAACGCGCTCTGTTTAGACCCAGAGCAACAGTATGTTTGACTGATGGCCTTAATATAAAGACTTCGGACTTTACGTTTCCCAATTTTTGCTTTAAGTTATTTTGTTATTTACATAATAATGTAAATAACCTAATAATGATCCTTATTGCAGTTTCAGAGGAGCGCTGCTTCAAAGGATAGCTGCAGATTTCTGTCAGAATCTGCAGATTATACAGGACAAATAAAATGTTCACGTTGTTCCCAACAGTTTCACGGGATGGCCAGGAAGCGTTCGCGATGTCTTCTCCGGCGCTGATAATCGGCGTCATTTAATGCGACATGACCATCAAACAGCAGCTTTCTAAAACATCTGATATGTGTCGGATTCAGCACCACATACGAGAGTGACCCAGATCGGTTTGGAAAATATCGGATTTGTGCCGTTCACACTGTCACACCATGATCGGATAGATGGTCACACAGGGTCAGAAAAATCTGATTTGATGCGCTTTCGCCTGCAGTGGGAGCGTAGCCTTAGACCTGAGCTGATGCAAAGTGGTACCTCTGCAACATGTAATGAACTTTACCCTGTTAGGATACTTTAAAAACAACAATAGTGGGAATAAACACTGAAAAATCCACTGGAGTCCAGGTTCTGTGTGGAGGAACACTTTGGATAAGTCATTATAATTTAGGAATTTGTGTTTTCAAACAGTTTGTGTGGTCAGTGTTTAATTTATTCTGAGGAATTTGTCTCCAGTTTTTTCCTTTCACATGGCTCCATCTGTCCTCAGCCTTTTGTCCTCCGGAGGACACAAAGACCTTCATCACACAACGGCAAAAATACCACAGAAATGTGTTTCAAACATGAAGATTCACATAGATGTGTTTCGCTCATCAAAGGCTCCATAATGAGAGTGCTGAATGAATGAATGCTTCAGAGAATGAATTAAAATGTCTGAGGGAATAAAGCAGTAATTCAAAGGGACTAATTATTAATCTGATGGGATGAGTAATTATGGGTGCAAATTATTCAGTTAAGTGAAAAAGAGAAATGTGATGAGAAGCAAAATCAGTTTCCTGTCTTCTAGACCTCCTCCGTCAAACTCTTCTCTCCACTTGTCGTACGTCCTGTTTTGTGATGGCGACCCGGGCGAATACACGCACACGGCCTGTCTTAACTTGTGGTGTTGAAACTTTTTTCTGCTGCACAAATCACTGATGCACATCCATAAATTCATGAGCGCATTCATAAAATTCAGCCGCCCACTCAAATACTGTGCACACGCACCGAGTGTGCCAGAGCTGTCAGATCAGCTTCCAGCATCCAAACATCAGCTTAATGTTAAATGAGGACACAAACTTTTAGACAGAGTTCACTACCAGAGACTCGCTGATGACCCAGAACAACCACGAGGACATCACAGACCATCTGTTTCCATCACGTCCTGTCCTCTGACTCTTTCTCTGTCGGGTCAAACACCTGCATGTCCTCTCTCGCCACAAACCTCCCGTGGGCCATCTCCTTTTCCCCTTGTTCACTAGCTCCATCTTCATCATCCTTCTCCCAAACGACCTCGAGTTTTGTTATTGTTGTTGCAGAAAACCACAGTTAGTGTCGACTCTGTGGACAAACACAGAATATCTACTACTGAGAAACTAAAGTTCTTACTTTACAGTCACGTGCAGGACTTTAAATATTGAGATCTTTTGATTGACTCATGTACTCCACGTACCTCGAGGCAAGGACATGCCAGCCTATTGTGATCCCCGGGGAGTCGCTCAGCCCTGCTCTGTCAAACCTCTGGTGTGGCTAATTTATGCATTAAGGTGTCCTTTGGCATCATGATGGGTTATGATGCAACGGTCACTCCCATGTCGTCAAGGTTACTGTTGTTAATAGGCATATACTCACCCACACCATCATCTTTCCATAACCCTCAGAGGTCTAACCCGACCCTGGCGATTTACATTAAATGTATGTATGTGTACGTACTTTGTCTGTTCCTAAGTTGCGAGTCTGAGTTATGATTATTACTCAGACTAACGTAAAGTGTTCAGGCCAACAGAGCCACTAAAATACTGTCTTTAGTTCTTAACGTCTGAAATGATGAAGACACTTGAGAAGCTCCACAAAATTCGCTGCCTTTGCAGAACAACAAAAACTTGTACCTGTTTGCGCGTTCCCTCCCAGGCGTCTGGACTTCTGATTGGACTTCTACACGGTTAGGATTTGGCATGTCCTTGACAGCGTTGGATTTTGGCGTTTACATGTGGACGGAGATATTTTTTCGAAACTTCTTTTAAAAAATGAAAATGGAAAATCTCAGTTTTCAAAAATACCCGTGTACGTGCGAACGTAGCCTCAGCGCCTGACCCCAAACAAGCCGTTCCCGGAGAGTTTCCCATCCTTGAGATAAATGAAGTTTACATTTATTTTGTCTTTGGTACATAAACCTAACCAGTGATTAGAACTGGAAGTAACAAGCAAAGGAAAAACTTATGATCAGAAGGCAGCATTTGGCCCTCCAACCTCCCCCTGAGGACCACGTGTGCCTGTTAAACGTGTCCGTTACATCTCAGTGGCCGCTACCGCCACATCCACAGCACCAGTGATGTGGGGATATATGTGTATTGAGAGTGTGGGGAGTGAGTTGGAGGGTGGGGTGGGCTGCTTTTAACTATGTAAAGCACTTTGTGCTACATTTTCTCTGTATGAAAAGTGCTTTATAAATAAAGATTGATTGATTGATTGATTGATTGATGCCAAAGGACAGCTTGTGGACAACAAGGGGACGCAGACACGCGACAAACTCTGGGCTTTCTGGTTTATGGACGTCAGATCACAGTAAAAGTTCACCAGGACACGGCTCACAAAGGCCGCTGCTCACGTTCAAACTACTCGCAGTTAAAAGCCTCATGGAGCTGTCGTTTTTTCTCACGTATGAATCGTGTACGAAAGCCGAGCCGCTTCCCCGCCTCTCAGTTTACACGCCAGTTTGCCTCGTGAAAAATAAGCCATCAAATTCAAGTTTATCTCGCTGACATGCAGAGGGCGCACAATAACCTCTGTGCTAGCTCGAACACACACACACAGTAACTGACTATTGTTCCCAGGTGTGAAGAAGCACCGCTGACATTTACAGACAGCAAACAGAACAATTACTGTAATTCAGGACAAATGCTGTCTTTCTCTGCCTGATTTTGACATTTGTGGAGATGATTGTAGTTTTCACCAAACGTCCAACATCACGGCGGCGGCGTTATTATAAATTTTTCCTTTTATTCTATAGATTATCTTCCTGTTTCTGTACATTTGCGTGCGCCGTCGTATTTTCTTCACTGTGTCCTTGTCCTCTCCTGTTTCCTCACCTGTTTCCTCTCCTGTTTCCTCTCCTGTTTCCTCTCCTGTTTCCTCTCCTGTTTCCTCTCCTGTTTCCTCTCCTGTTTCCTCTCCTGTTTCCTCTCCTGTTTCCTTTTCTTCTTCCTCTCCATCCTTTCAGGCTGATTTTCTCTCATTTTAAACTTAATAAGCAGTCTCGTCTCCATCCCATGCTCCGCTTCATTCCCTCCTCAGCTGTGACTTTCTTCTTCTTGACTTCTGCCGGCTTCGCTGTGCGTTCACTCAGAGGGAGGTGTCTCAGTAATTTGTGTAAGAGAGGGTTAAATGTTCTTTGGTGCTGCACAGGAAGGATGAGTATGTTTTCAAAGAATGCCATCAGGATAAAGTGACGATTAGGAGACATTTGGGTTACACCTGTACAATGCAACCAGGGTGAGAGCATCTTAATCTATATTTCAGTCAGGCTCAGGTCAATGCAGTGAATATAAGCGGGAGTTGAGCCTTAATAAGCACTCACAGGGCTTTTACTGGGTAAACTGGGCTCAGCACACAGCAGGCAGAGGAGCAAACCAAGGAAAGATCTGAGCGACATACAGCTCATCATCAGGCTCCAGGTGGACGTCCATGCCCGCTTTCTGTGACCTCTGGGCACAAACTACTCGTGCAGACGTGAATAAAGTGCAACAGGAGCAACTCTGAGGATCAGAGAGCGACTGAGGAAAGCACAGCTGAACGTAGGTGCTACATGTTGGGGAAGAAAGCCAACAAACAAGCAGGAGCCTCACAGCAGGTCGCCGCAGGTGTGTGCTGTACACTGATGTGTGCGTCAGTGACACATGGACACGTGCTGCAGGCTTCATGTAACAGAGGTCAGCTGTCACAGATGATGTGAGGGTGCTTGTGAAATGTACCACTAACCACATGCAAGAGACAGAAGCCATAAGATGTAACAACGACTTTATTAATTGTCTGATCCAGAAATGTTGATGTTGTTTCCCATCACAGAGGAATGAAATCTTCACGTGATCGTTCACCGGACCGACAGAACAAAGCATGCAGCTGAAACGAAAGTTAAAATAATGATAATTTTACATTACAGAGTAGAATAAAAGTAGAATAAGAGAGTAGAGTGAAGACATGTAGGAGCTGCAGATTGTCCTGTGTGTGTGTGTGTGTGTGTGTGTGTGTGTGTGTGTGCGTGCGTGCGCGCGTGCGTGCGCGTGCGTGTGTGTGTCAGCATCCAGCTGTGTCACACGTGCTCAGTGTCTGTGCTTGCTGTGGATATTTGTTGCAGATGTTCATAAATGTCCTCTTCCTTCCACCAATCACGTCACATCTCCCGTCCACGTGTTCAGCCGCGAGTGAAAATCCTGTAAACGTAGATCTTTGTCACACATACAGTAAATATTATCATCGCCCTCCAGATGTGACGTTACGTTTGTTTCACGCGTCACGTTCGACAGATGTTACGTAACAGTCAGTGAAAAACTGATCGAAAGAAAAAGCGATCACGTGTATTCACCCTGCCCGTGTCTCGCCTTCAGGTGTCCAACCTGTACCTGTACGACAGCGTGCTGATGCTTGCCAACGCCTTCTACAGGAAGCTGGAGGACAGGAAGTGGCACAGCATGGCCAGCCTGAACTGCATCAAGAAGTCCACCAAGCCCTGGAACGGAGGCTGGTCCATGCTGGAGACCATCCAGAAGGTAAAACACATCCAGAGTAGAGCAGACCAAAACATGCCCGCTGGTTTAAGCCTGATATCAAACTTACGATGGAAGAATTTAACCCTGAATCGAGTACTCGCCTTTTTCTTTCATTACAAAAACTGTGCAAATAAGAAGTTTTATCTGCACAGCCTCTCATTCAGTTTGGTTCAAAATAGTAAAGTTTTCTCAGAACTGTTATTTATTTAAAGAAAGTCGAGGCGAGCATTTGATTTGTACAATTTTCAAAATAAAAGAACAAACAGCTGCTTTGTCAACAGAAAATCAATCGCACATCAAAGATGCAGTGAAATTGCGCGCAGCAACCTGGAGTCAGTCCTCACAGTCTAATTGGAGAGAGATGCTCTTTGGCTGGGCTGATGAGTCCCTCCAGCACGCGCGGTTGTGTTTTATTAAAACACGAGTCTGCTTTTCTGACACGAGTAACCACCGCTGAGCTCATTAGCGCTCCTTTCCTACAGATTCCTGTAGAAAAGTCATAAAGCATCATGTTTTTGAATGATATTGACAGAAATATCCAGAGTTCCACCAAAGGATTATTACTCCTGCAGTCATCTTTGTATGCGGACGAGCCAGACAGAGCACGCGGCCGCTTAAAATTCTCATTTCATACCAAAAAGCTGCCGAAAACAGCAGCTCGTCTGATGAGGGGGAGGAGCCTCACCTCCGAGCTGATGAGGCTGTGACTCCTCACACGACCAACTGTCCTGCCTCCTGTTTCGTGCTCCAGGCGGTCGTTTGTCAGTTTGATTGTTATGGACGCACTTTTGCTGCGTCTCACCTCAGAGTTGGTCATTACCCCCTGACGAGTCTGGGCTACTTTGCTGATGAAATAGACGATAACTTAAAGACAGGACGACATTCGCTAAGTGAAAAATGGCAGAAGCCGAGAACTTTTTATGTCGCGCGTATCCGAAGACGTGAAAAGCGGCGTCCCTCCCTCCTCTGGCAGGTATGTGTTGAATGCGTTTACTCGGACACATTTTTGAAAGAGCCAAACATTTTCAAACATTAATTTCCTCCAGGTGACGACGAACGCGACCTTTGCTGCTGACAGAGGAACATTTAGTTGGCCGGCCTGCTGTGATGACCGTCTTCAGTCATGCTTTACATCCAACACGAACTGATGGAAGTCATGAAGTGACATTTCATCCGTGGCCTTTCGTGGCAGCGGCACAGCAGTCACGGGCTGAACTCATTCAGTCAGACTCTGATGATGTTCTGTATGGCGCCTCATCGTTCTGCAGAGCAGCCAGACCTGATAAAGATGGTCATCAAATATTTAGGTCTATATTTATTGGCTCCCACTGCACCCTGGGATTTCTGCGTTCCTCACATTTTCGGTGTCGGTGTTAAAGATGCAGGAAGGGTAGCAGCAGGTGTTTCAGAGGTCACCTGGTCCTTTCTTCTTGCCCCTTTAACCTGTTAACATCTGCCTGATTGCTGGGACGGGGGTCAGGATCATGCTCCCGTCTCATACACGTTATCCTCATTTGAAAGAGTCGTCTTGTGGATGACTCGTGTTTTTCATTATTTCAGTCAGGAGGGGCTTTTAGGATTTGTGTTCATATTTAACATAGACGTGTGCTATGCAGCGCAGAAGAATAAAAATAAGGTTTGTCAGTGATCTGAGACGGCCGTAGTATTGCTGCATTTATCCCCTGGCATGGGTGCTGATACACGCTGCTGCGAGGCTCCCAGTACAAAAGAGGCCTGAGGCCGGATTCAGACTCCTGACGGAGGTCTTTGGAGCTCCTACAACACAGCAGCATAGCTGTGGTGGTCGGTGGGATTTATGCTCGTGCTGGTGGAAACGACCGCATGTTCTACATCCTGTTTAGTGAGAGAAACACATAAAGTTCTGGGGCTTTGTCCTGGTTCCTCGTCAGTGTTTTCAGGGGGGAAACATATTTGTCCCTCAAGTTTTTCCACTTCTTTGCACATTCCCAGTGTCCACAAACGCCCTCCAAGACTTTGCCAACAATTATGAGTCCCTATGTTGATGCTATGACTGTTAGTCTCTGACTGAGAAATCAGGGGCCACTCATCTGAAACACGTCTTTGATATAGACGACTCAACTGGTTGCCATTGGTGTATAAAAGCACGGCTGCTGCCTGTCGTTGTTCAGGTAAATTGACAGATTTCTGGAGCATAAATCCATCAATAGCACAGGAAGTTGTCATTCTCAGCTCGTGTCTCGTTTGAACACGGATTACAAACTGTTCCTGAAATAACCAAATATAATCAGGTAGCAGGTAAAGAAGGTAGCAGCTCGAGTCAAAGATCGTCACAAAGTAATAAAAGAAGAAAGTGGGGCATCTGAAGGTTCTGGGGAAAGCCTGATTGTGTCAGACGGCGAGCACAGATCATCCTGCGCGACTTCTAAACCCCCGTCTCTCTCCTCTCTGTCTGCCACCCTCCTCTTCAGGGAAATATCACAGGTCTGACGGGTACGATGGACTTTAAGGACAACGGCTCCAACTCCCACGTCCAGTTTGAGATCCTCGGCTCGAGCTTCAGCGAGACCTTCGGCAAGGACATCAAGAGGGTGAGTTCACACTTTAACAGATGAGCAGTCGACGTCGCCCGAGTGTGTGTCGGATCTCGGAAGACGTTTTCCTCCTGGGGGAGGAACAAATAAAGCTAAAATATTCTATTTTTGATGATTCTCCAGCACGTCGCTGTGTTCAGTAAAGAGCAAAACACAGTTCTTCATGTGTTTGTGTCACGTGTGTTTTTGGGGAAGTGGAACCAGATAATCCACCCTGTCTGACACACACACACTGGTTTCCATGACTCAGTGAGGACGTCTCACTGACATAATGGTCTCACTAGGTGCCCCGACCCTAACCCATCAAAATGAAAGCTGAACCTAAACCTAACCATCACCCTGCTGTACCCCTGTCCTCACAAACATGTCTAAACATGCACACACACGTTTCTGGGGTTAAACTTGTGGAAATGGCTTCAGACAAACATCCACACCACAAACCCGTCCGACGGTGTCGCTGCGGCGTGTTTGTTCAGAGCGGCGTTAGCCTGTGGCGCACAGAGGAGCGCCGTTAGCTGCCGTTGTTGCTGTCGGTGGAGTTCAGCGTCATCGGCCGTTGTGTTGGCCGTAGCGGAGCGCTGCGGTTGGTGCCCACCCCTCCCAGCCTGCGTCTTTCATATCCTCACGAAGGCTCTGCTTCATTAAACGTGGGGATTCCTACAACATTAAATGCTCAGACTGAGCTTTGGCACCTGGGCCCTGCTGGGGCTGGACGTGCAGCTTCTGTGCTGAAGTTTGAAGTTGGAGAAGAGGAAACAACTGCTGATGTGATGGAAGGAAAACACACCTGGATCCGTCAGGTTTGGAAACTGAGGCGCTGCTTCGCTTTATCCAGGATGGTGAAAACTAACCACTGGTGTTTTCTTTACTCCTAGAAGAGCAACTAACGGCTGTACGACCTTAAATGAACTCTGTTTATTCCTTTCATTTAATTGTCATTTATTCTGTTTTCATTGGTGAGACTCTTCAGGTGGAGCGTTAACCTGACGCGCGTTGATCTTTGAGCAATGAAGGAATTTTAACCCAACGAACAGGAATCAGTGCGACTGTCACGAGTGTTGCATCGTGGCGATGTCCGCCTTTATATACAGTCTTTGCTCCTGAGTCATGACGGCGTGTTTTTCAGTGTTGCTGACGATGCGCAAGATTAGGGGGTAACATGCAAACTCCACATACAGCTGGTCGCTAGTTATTACACCCATCAGACAGGCACGACTGGGTCAGAGCGTCTCCAGGACTGCAGCTCTTCTAGTTGTTTCTGGTCTGCAGGCTCACTGATGCACGTAGAGATCGAAGGCGAGCTGCTGTAGCTCGAACGAGTCCGATCCACGGACGCCCGCCTCGCAGCTTAGAGGACTTAAAGGACATACTGCTAACATGTTGGTGATACCACAGCACACCTTCAGGGTAATCTACGCCTGATCGCTACATAAGCCTCCGGGAAGGAAATCTGTTCAGGTTTTGTAGCGACATGTTTGTGCAGGAGACGGCATAAGAGTCGCTTTGTTGGTAACAAAAGGTTTATTATAGTAGCAAAAGTGCAAAAAGCCCATAACAGGCACATGTATCAGTGACTCACATTAAAGGCGCTACAGCTCATTACAGCCCACTCTGGGTTATTTTCAGAGTCACATACAGTGCTGCAGGGTGTCCTCCGGCCTGCTGTTAATGTTGCCGCTACACGACCGGCGTCTGATAGCGGCGCTCTCTGTAATGACACAGATATGAATGTCAGCTGGCTTCATCTGCTGCTGCTGAGCTGGCAGGAAAAACACAATCAGCTCTTTATAGGATGGAAAGCAGAGAAAGAGCAGTTTAAAGAGAAAACGTGCGTTTGGATTTAGCGACTGCGCTGACTCATCGGCCTGATTCGTAGCTCCTCTACAGAGGCACCTGTCATCTGCAGAAAAGGGTCTAAAAAAGTGAAAAATTAAAACTGACAGTCAAACATAAACCAGCTGCCGTCTGATGTATTTGGTTGAAATTATATTTAGAGTAAAACTGGAGCGTTGCCCTTTAAAATCCACTTTTGTAATTTAAGGAAAACCAAAGCAGGAAGTTAAAGGAGTCGGAGACATTACAAAGAAGAATCATTCAAAGTCTGTTTGATAGAAATCTGTGGTCCCGCCCCTTCCTCAAAGAGCCAATCAACACCCGTCCAACATATGTCTCTTTGCCTGAAACGCACGACTGCGTAGTTTAATGATGGAGCGCTCGTTGCTTTAAAGCGTTTCACATTTATCAGAATGTGATATTTGTCATTAGAGCACACATCTGCACCAATGAATTAAGAAAATATGAATATCCACAGCAACTTTATGATTTTGTGAGGCCGTCTCAGCAGCTGTCATTATGCTGTGTGCTGAAACAAGCCGCGCAGAGGTGGAGCTCAGAAAGATGAAGCAGCCCGAGCCAGCCAATCACTGAGTGTTGCTGCCATATTTGAATGTAAAACATCAAACTTGCAGACTGGAAACAGAAAGAGTTCGCCTCCAAAGTAAAAGTGGAAGCCTTTGAACCCTGTTGGTTACAATGCCAAGGCAGAACTTTTACTTTGAAGGCGAACTGTTTCTGGTTTATAGCTTGATCCGTCTTTTCAGTCTCGCTGGCGTCTTCGAGGTAAACTACAGGCGACCGCGGCGACCGCTCTTTGTCACCGATTTCATCCAGCAGCAGTCTGCAACTACTTGCCACCTGGTTAAACACACATTTTGCCATGGCAACCAGAGCGTTTTCTAAAGAGGTTTAATTACATGTTTGATACTGGGAATATCTCAGAACAAGAAAAAGAAGAGCATAATTTCATCTGCAGGAAAAAGTAAATTAGAATAGAACAGCCCTTTATTCGTATTTATTGTACACGTGCAATGAAACTAGACTTGAACTGTAAATGAAAGGCTTGTTTGCAGGAAACTTTGTGTTTAACTGCATCAGTTAGTAACTTGTTACTTAAAGTGACGAGTGTAGCATGAACGAACACGGCGAAACGAAAAGCTGTGAAACTCGTGAAAACTCAGTTCAGTCCAAATCTGATGGCCTTCATATTTTCCAAACTGTCCACTGGCTGACGTGGAGTCTTTGCCTCAGACGATCGAGTCGAACAGCGGAGTGACTCCTCCCTGGTCCGTCGTGTAGGACGCTGCAGAACGATCAAAATGTGTTTATTGAAGAAAAACGTAATTTACCTGCTCTGTGGTGCATCAGTCAGTCCGTCCTGATCTGAGTTTGTCTTTACTTGTTATTATAAATCACATTTTTACACATTATAAAGCTTCCAAACATCATCAGAGATTTTCTTTTCTAACCTTCGCTGTTTCTGAAGTGTTTCCCTCGTCTGTGTCCACGAAGGCTACGGACGGCTGAGTAAATGCCAGAAAAGTAATCTGCTCGCTCATTTCCTGCACAGTTTTCATGTTTGTGCTGCACTTTTTCCTTTTCTTGTTACGGCGGCAGACGGCAGGTTTTTTATTTCCTGTTGACTTTTTCCTGTTTTAGCTCTTCTGTCAGGACTTCACGTCTGTACTGCCAGAGCCTGGATATGCTGGATATATATACCAAGTAGTGTTACACAACCCGGTTCTGGGTAAAATGTTAAAAACAGAGCGCAAAAAATATCCGATGTGTAACCTGGACACATGCTTTAAGAGAGACATGGCTGACTTTGAATTTGATTGCAGCAACACGTCTCTATAAAACAGGATGGAAAAAGTAGGCGGTGCTAAGAAGAAACAGCTGGAGGGAAACTTTCTGACTGGCAGCAGGTCAGCAACACGAGTGGGTAAGAAAGAGCATCGGAGAGGCAGAGTTTAACAAAAGTAAAGATTAAAACCAAAACTACAAACTGACTATGGAAAGATTTCAAAATAATTTCCCTCAACATAGTTGATGATGTCATCAGAAGAGAAAAGACTGATAATCAGAGCTGCATGTCCAGGATGTTGAAGCCTTCAGCTGATTGTGTGATGGAATCAGTCCACGAGCGCAGGAACTCTGCACCAGGCTGCATGATGCAGAGAAGTCATACACATAGTCCAGGGACGCCTTGTTTAGCATCAGCATCAGTGGATCTGACAGCTTACACATCTGGACAGGCTCCTGAACCGTTTATTTGGCTTATAGAGCAGCGTGATGCTGAACACTGGATGTTAACACCGCGTGCAGTGTTTTTATGTCTGATGGAACTTCCTGTCGACCCTCCGCTCGACAGTCGCTTTGAGAAAGAGTGAAAACGGTTCGTCGACGGCAGCGCGGTCGCATATTTAAGTTTCACGGTTTCACAGTCGGCTGTGCAGCGCTGCGCCGTGCTTTGTGAAAGAAGGCAGCCATCGTTCACACGACAGCGAGCGCGTGCGAACGCCGCTCGCTTCATTAATTTTTCCAATCAGTGAAAAAGTTGTTAACCATGTTACGGTAACCTCGATTAACGGCGGCCCCGTTCACAACAGCGAGCACTCCTCCACATCAAACCACTTAGTATTTAACAGGATGGATGAGGTTTTAATTCCAAACCTGTAAATACAGGTTGCTGCTGTCTTACAGTCGATTAATCAGCACCGAGGAGCAGCAGGTATAATGAAACCACACGCGTGACATCACTGCGTCACCCTGACCTCCGCAGCAGCGCGCTGCCGGGGTTTCATCGTGAAAGCCTGATTAGCTCCCTGAATAACTGAAGTCATCCCTCATCTGCACAATGCACACAGTGGTAGAGCAGTACGCAGTGTGTGGTTATGCACAGTGTTACGTAGTAACTTATGTGTGACTGTAGGCGGTAACACAGCAATGTAGAAATGCACCAGGACATCTGCCTTTAAGAAGAGGTCCAACTTTAGTATGTAACACTGAAAGGACTAGAAGACAAGGAAACAAGGAAGGGAAAAACTCTGAAAGGAAAGAAGAATTAAAGAAAAGGGAGGGAGGGCAAAGGAAACAAGGAAGGAAGGAGAGAAAGAAAAAGGAAAAAAATAATAGAGTTTGAGGCATAGAAAGGGAAAAAT